AGTCTAATTGAATCCAACTCTGGGGGGTAAGGTAAAGGAATCCCATGGAATAGGAGCATATTATAAGTAGGTAAGGTAAAGGTTTTCCCTGACATTAAGTCTAGTTGAGTCCGATTCTGGGGTGTGGTGCTCATCTCCATTTCTAAGCCGAAGAGCCAGCATTGTCCGTAGACACCTCCAAGGTCATGTGGCCAGCATGATTGCACGGAGCACCGTCACCTTCCAACCAAAGCGGTACATATTGATCTACTCATATTTGCATGTTTTCGATCGTAATGTCAAGGGGGAACCTTTATCCATACTTATTGCCAATAGAAATGGAGATGAGCACCAACACCCAAAATTGGACACAACTGGACTTAATGTCAGGGAAAGCCTTTACCTTATCTACTTATAATACACTCCTATTCCATGTGACCCCTTACTTCTGTCTAACACAGCAAAGTCCTATCCACTGTGACTTTTCCTTAGAAAGGAATTGATCCAGTTCCTTGGTCATTTTCCTTTACCGTCTCCTAGGTGTCCTTTTTGGACAGCAGTGACCAAACCTGTACACAGCATTGCATCTGAGGTCCAGTGGTTAGGAAACAACAATTAGCAATGTGCAATTACTTCTAATTGCAACCCTTAGACCACAAATATCTAACATAGCTATGATCCGAGGTTGGAAAAATACTTTTTTTGCACTGCAGCACTTAGAATGACTAGGTGTGCATCTACACTGTAGAATTATTTCAATTTGACACCACTTTAACCACCATGAGATTTCTAATGTGGTGAGGCACCAGCACTCTCTGGCAGAGAAGGCTGCAGACTCTGTAAAACTACATCTCCCAGGACTCCACAACATTGAGTCAAAGTGTTGTCAAACTATATTGATTCTACAGTGTAGATGTAAACGTTTGTAGCTTATGTGCCTAACAGCCATGATGACTGGAAGAGCCTATGAGCTCCAACACAAAAAGTAACTTTTCCAAGCTCTGAGTGAGAGTGGATAAGCATGCAAACAAGGCACTTTATGGGCAAGAGTTTTCTAAGATCTACAGAGAGTATTTCTTGATTTAAGTCGTTGACGTGCTGGCTGAGATCTACAGAGACACTCGCTGGAACACCTCAGCAAGCAAGAGTCCAAAAGTGGCAGGCTCAAACCCAGAACCTCAATCAATGGCTGATACCAAATGAGAGACTCCCCCCTGGGCACACAGAAGACTGGGCGACTTGGAAGGCGCTGAACAGACTGCGCTCTGGCACCACGAGATGCAGAGCCAACCTTAAGAAATGCTACAAAGTGGAATCCACGACATGCGGAAAAAGAGCAAACTACAGACCACCTGCAATGCAACCTGAGCCCTGCTACATGCACAATGGAGGACCTTTTTGCAGCAATACCAGAGGCACTCCAGGTGGCCAGCTACTGGTCAAAGGACATTTAATCAACTACCAAGATTGCAAACTTTGTGGTTTGTTTGTTTGTTTGTTAAAAAATGCAATACAACTGTTTGGTTTGCTCCTGACACGATAAATAAATAAATGGGCAAGACATTCTGAGATGTATTTCCAACGCTTTTCTCTCCAATGGCTTGCTTTGATTTCCTAAGCAGATACCAAGGGTTAATTCATGCAACCAAACTGGCGTCATTCTTAAATTGATGTCAGAACTGGCTGTTGTCTTCAGTTTTGCCAAGCTGCCACCAGTAGCTAAATATTTGCAGACGCATTTGCTAAATAATCTTGTGGAGCGAAAGTTGCGAGGGACCACTCCGATGAGGGACTCACTCAAGAGATGGATTTGCTCAAGGGAGGAAGTAATAATATTGACAAAATCCCTACCGGTGCAGCATGCAAAATATTAGCACTGCCTTGTCTAGCTTTGGCAGCCTGATGAGACTTTAAAATGTACACAGCTCTTCAGTTATTCCTTTTGCGGAAATAATTCATTTCAAAGGAGTCATACTCCTGCACAGTTTTGGAATGTGCTTCGTGAAAAGTTTAAATATAGGGAATGAAAAAGGACACTCTTCCAAACTGGACTCAAGAGTTTGATCCAGTGCCCCAAAATATATAAGGATTCAGAATCATAAGGAGGTGGGAAGCTGGAAGCTATATGATTAATGGCAATCCATTACTTTACAATTAAGAACAGCAGCTCTGTAGATAATCATCAGAGATTCATCAGAAAAACAAATGTTAATTTATCAGAAATTCCAAGATTAGGAGATCCACAGTGACAAACCTAGTAGTATATAATAGTCAAAGCTAAAAAACAACAACAAACCCTACTTTTGGCACAAAATCTAGCATTTTCCAGCCAGCATGGCCTGTGAGGGATTCTGGGAATATAGAATCATAGTTGGATGGGAACACAAAGATCATCTAGTCCAATGCCCTACCATATAGGAATATACAACTAAAGGGGCTGGGCTATAGCACAGCAGACTAACTGCCAGCTGCACTAAATCTTGCCAACCAAAAGATTGACAGTTCAAAGTCCGGGTCAGGGTGAGCCCCTGGCCTTTAGCCCAGCTTCTGCCTACCCAGTAGTTTCGAAAACAGCAATGTGAGTAGATATAAAGGTACCACTTAAGCTGGGAGGTATTTAAAGCACCCATAAAGAAATGCCAGAAAATGCTGGTAATTCAACGAAGGAGGAAGTTTACAAACAAAGCTCTTTGGCAGGGAAAGTGAAGAGACAGCACACCCTGTGGCCAAAACTGAGCACAGCTTCCAAGATGCCAAAGATGGGAACGCCTATATATACTTCTATCTATGTACAGCTGCCTGTCTTGTCAGTGGCATTGAATGTTTGCCGTATTTTGGCCCATAACTCCCAGAAATCCCTGTCAATTTGCCAGCTTTTAGGATTTCTGGGAGTTGAAGGCCAAAACATCTGGGGACTCACAGGTTGAGAATGTGTTCTGTGATCTGCTCTGAGTCCCTTTCGGGTTGAGAAGGGCGGAATATAAATTCTGTAAATAAATAAATAGAGATACTCATCCATCCTCTGTTTAAATATCTCCAAAGATGAAGAGTCCATGACCCACCAAAGCAATATATTTCATCTTCAAACAAAGGTTCAGTGGGGTGGCTTCCTTTGCCTTCCATTGAGGCTGAGAGAGTATGGCTTGCCCATAGGTTTCCATTTCCAAGCAGATATTATAACCTTGATAATGCTCTCTGGAATAAAGAACCTGGCAATGTTGGGTGCTTGCCAGGGTTCCAAAACCAGTAGTGTAACTATTTCTATTTTGCACAGAATACCTGGAAAGAAAATCCTTGGTTTGCCTGTTCTGTTTCTTCATGATGGCCATTGAAAATAAGGCACCCAAAGCCCCCTTGAAATTCTGGAGCCAACACTGTGGATCCTCAAGTTTCCTCCTTTTCCTTGACATACCGATATCTGGGTATTTTCTCATAAAGTCAATTGCAAATGCCTACGCAAACCCCAAGACACTCTTTCTTTATGTAAGAAACAGGAATCCTGTAAACATTCATTTCAGCGCAGAAGATAAGCCTTTATCCCACTTTCCCCAAAACGTTGAAAGCACATGAAGATGTCAAAAGTGAAGGCAAGATTAGGAACTCATTTGCTGTCTTCTCTTCTTAAGGAAAAAGAATGCTTCCCAGAGCCTAGCTTTCCTTGTGCATCATCCACAAATAACATGATTTCCAGTCTTTGTACGTGGTTGTTTTATCTGCATTTATGACTTACACACAGAGAGACATTTTCAAAGCTCTCAAACAATGCCCAAGATACACCACACCAACTCTCAGTAAGACATCATGCACATGCCCTCCCATAATAGATTGCATACAATGAATAAATACTCATTTCTTCCTTTCCAAAGGCCTTCATGGCAACACACAGCAGAGATGAATATAATACAGTTCCATTGTGACAATTTGTCTCTATATCTACTGCTTTCTAAGTGGCACAGTGTCAGTGAGAGAAGTCCTATGATTTGTAATATGGTTCAGGGACTGAGAATTCTCTGCTTGGGAGCCTTGATTTCCAAGACAGAACTACAATTCTCAAGGTTCCTTGGGGAGAAGAAACAATTCCTCAAGTCAGTTGAGTAGTTATTGTGTCCTCAGAGTCTCCAATGCCTCAAAATTCTTAAGGAAAAGCTTAGACAAGTTTATCCAGAAATGGTAATAGCAGAGTCTTCAACTCTACCACAATGCTGAGCTGTGGGCAATGCTGTTATTTAAGCTGGAGGAACAGGCCTTCGTCAATAGTCATGGAAGTTCAGTCTGAAGCAAAGCTAACATTTGTAGCAAAGGCTGCATCAGTCTATGACAGAGGTTCTCAACCTGTGGGTTCCCAGGTATTTTGGCCCATAACTCCCAGAAATCCCTGTCAATTTGCCAGCTTTTAGGATTTCTGGGAGTTGAAGGCCAAAACATCTGGGGACTCACAGGTTGAGAACCACTGGTCTATAGTCTTTCTACAAATAACTACTGCATGGTCTCATGGGTACACTACAGCCTCGTCTACAGTAACATGCTTGTGCCCACTGCATAAGAGAGAACTTCATAGCACACATATTAGATCATGTACTAAGATGGCACTAATGCATACCAAGTGGAGTCATCAGTGCAGGACTTTGGGGTAGAAGGACAAGACCGTATTCAGCCAAATGAAGCTCTTCACAGAATCATACATTTGGAAGCAACCACAAGAACCATCCTGTCCAACTCCCTACCAGGCAGGAATATACAATCAAAACCCTCCTGACAGATGGACATCCAGCTGTTATTTCAAAACCTCCAGAGAAAACTTTCCTATACACCAAGGCAACATATTCCACAGCTGAACAGCTTTTATCATCAGTGTTTAACACAGGGTTGCAAGCCTATCATAATTGGAAATAAGCAATGAAACACATATTACTTGGATGTAAGGCAAAGTCTAGCATCTAAAACTACCTAATAGCACCACTACTTCTACTGTGGACATTCTCGTCCCAAAAGTTAGCCACCATATTTGAGTAGGAGTTTACCTGGTCTGTTTCCGTGTAAGTGCTCTGCTCATCATCTTCAATATCAGACTCTCCCACAGCAATGGGGACACAGATGGAAAGGTTGGGGTTGGTCATAAAGTCATCATTGTGGTCACTGACCACCTCCTTTGGCTGCGGCTGCTGTTGATGCGGGTGTTGATGGTTCGCCCTGTTTCTTTCGGTTCCCTCATCCCCAATGTGGTTCTCCTTGTAGGTGTCCTCCTCTTTGCTAAACTCCATAGCACTGTGGTTGTTGATACAGTTGTGGACAACGGCGGGGTTCTGGGCCGTGAGCTTCATCATGGCTTTCTTCTCAGCCGTTGCTTTGGGTTGCCTGAGGACGTGGCAACAGAAGTCCCACATGGCGCGGTTGGCGTGGTTCAGTCCCCGGTTGATGCGGGCAAAGGCAAGCTGCAGGTTGTTCATCTCCCCATCCTCGTCTGGTGCCGAAAGGTTATCAGCGCTGAAGGAGCTCAACAGTAAGGCAAGGAACAGGTTCAGCACCTGAAATGTAATGCAATTGTGTTAATCACCCTAGGATTAAATATTCATTTATTCATGATGGTTCGTATTAGGAATTCAAATCTCCTGAATACCATAGTCTCGTTCCAATGTAAGACTCCCTGAGTTAATCACAGTCTGGTAGGAATGCCCCCCAAAAGTACTTCTTCACACTGGGTTGTTGTAGGTTTTTCAGACTGCATGGCCGTGTTCTAGAAGCATTTTCTCCTGACGTTTTGTCTGCGTCTATGGCAAGCATCCTCAGAGGTTGTAACGTCAGACCTCACAGCCTCTGAGGATGTCTGCCATAGATGCAGGCAAAATGTCAGGTGATAATACTTCTAGAACATAGCCGTAAAGCCCGAAAAACCTACAACAACCCAGTGATTCTGGCCATAAAAGCCTTCCAGCCATGAAAGCCTTCACACTGTGTGTAATAAACAAAGGAAATGCTAGATAAAAGAATAAATGATGCTATGCAATGAAAGGTGGGAGAATCATGGGGTACTTCTATGTTGTGTCTCAGCCACATCATAGTATTCCATTACTTCTACACGTTACAATCAATCAGCATTTTATGCCCATCTCTATCCTCACAGCCTCTTCTCCTGCATGTGGTTTGGGATGTGGAGACACGGTTTTGCCTAGATCCAGTTCAATTTACAGTAAGACACAAATATCTCTGGTCAGCCCCCTAGCCAGGATTTTGATTAGGAGGGGGGGCTGAGTTTGATTTGGGGGGGGGGGCTCAGGATTTACCTTAGCAAACCTTTTGTATCATTATCCCAATACCCCCATGCATGTGGGATATATTAAACATGGTGATCAGATCATGCTATGAATAAACATAACAGTTTAAATAATGTACCAGTAAGGCCTTCTCGCTGACCACCCTGAGAATTTTGGGGGGTGGGTGGGTGTTAAGCCCCCCCCCCCCCCCCCCCCCCCCCCACCCCGGGCTATGGGCCTGTCTCTGGTGAATACATTTCCAAACAGATCACACTTACATGAAACTATGGATATGATGAACACAATTAAGTTACCTTAGTTGTGGTCCCAGTGTTCCCTAGAGTTGCATTGAAGGACCTTTCAATAATTTGCTAGGTCCCCCAAGGCAATCCAATGGTGGATAAGTGTGGATACCTATCTGGAAGTGACAAAATAAATTGCATTGTATTGCTATCCCATTGTAGATGTTGAGATAGTTTGGAAGTGCAGAGAGAGTTTACATTCACAATTCGAAGCTTACCTATGTAGACAACTACTAGACAAAACTACAAATGACAGCCACCAAGGCCTACAGGGTGTCACACCCACTTTGTTTGACACACAAAATTGATAGCAGCGTGCAAACAGACAACTTTCTTTCTTTCTCTTTCTTTCTAGCAAAGTACAATTGTTTAGGATTTGCGCTCATTTAAAGCAGATGAAGTATTCAACTATGTATGTATTTAAGTAATTGTTGTTATGTGCCTTTGGGCAGATGGGGACCTTTTAAACAATTTGTACCTGCAATCAATCAATCTATCTATCTATCTATCTATCTATCTATCTATCTATCTATCTATCTATCTATCTATCTATCTATCTATCTATCGCTTACAGTCTTCGAAGAGCTCCCCTTTTCCCCAGCTGTGTAACTTTATCCCAGCACACCTGCTCTTGCACACAGAGCACTTTTTCATCCTGTCTTCTCATTTATCACAAGCTATTTGTGTTCTCTGGTGCCCTTTTTCTACAACACACATTAACACACTTCTGCTGCGCACACACACGCACTCATACACCCTGCTCACTTAGGAGTCCATGCTGTTAAGCAAAATAAGCTCAACCTCAGGCATCATTGCTCGCTATTATTGTTGGCCAGACTGCATTGGAGACGGACAGTCTGGGGTTGAGACAGATCAAACCATTTTCTGCGCAAAGCCCATTTGCTGGGTATTGCTTCACTTAAATCACCCCGTCTGTTGCTCTTACTGTAAACAGTTTCCAGCAATGCTCAGAGTGCATTTGTGTATATACATTTCTAATGCGAGAATGAAGTTGCAAAGAATTGGATATCATAGTCCATATGCTGCACGAACTTCATAGCTTTTCACATGACTCTTGTTGTCAGCGCTTGGAAATAATGTGCTGCAAATCGAGCAGAGAATGTCAAGTTGAAACAAAAACTTTTGATTTAGTATACAAGGAGAATTTTGTTGTTAGGTTCTTGTGGGTTTTTTCGGGCTATAGAGCCATGTTCTAGAGGCATTTCTCCTGACGTTTCGCCTGCATCTATGGCAAGCATCCTCAGATTTTGTTGTTGTTGTCGTCGTCTGCTTTCATGTCATTTCTGACCACCAAAGATAGAGTGTCACTGTCTACCATCCTCTGACCCATTTTATTTGAGTGATGAACAAATCTTGAGTGTAACAAAAACTCAATATTTAGGTGGAAATTATTTTCTTGTAATTTGAATCCACTGGCTTGTGCTCTAGTCTCTGGAGCAGCACAAATTAAGCTTGCTACTTATGTTACATGGTGCCCTTTAATGTAAAATGTAGTGATCTCTCCGTCTTCTCTTCTCCAAGCTACACTTACCCAGACTCCTAAGTAATTCCTCCTGTTGTAGCTCAGCCTGTGATTGTGTCTGATGTTCATGTTGGAATGGGAGTGAAGGGTTTTCTGGGCCTGGGTCTGTTGGCAATGGGGATGAGGATTTGCCTGGGCCTGAATTAAGCCCATACGAGAGACCTGCAGTGTCTCATGAAGATTCACAAAGTCACATTCCTGGGAGAGGCCCTCAACAGTCTCTGAGAAACTGTCTTCTGAAGATGAATTGTCAGGTGCAGAATTTAATGAGAGTGAAGATAGAAAGCAAGACTTTTGTAAACAGAAACAAAGCTCTCAGGCTCAACAAAGGTCAATTCATTTGTATGAAAAGAGAAATAAGAAACCCTTATCTGGTTGCAAATGCAAGATAAATGCTTTCCTTTCGGTTCTGGGGCCAGGAAAAGCTTTATATTGATACAAGGGAAATAATTGACTCAGTCTTGTCAACATTGGAATTTCATGACAGTCTTGTTTCCAAGTGTTCCTAGTTTCATGTACCAATTTTTGCCAGGCTCCTGATCTGTGTATTGGATTTTCATGCTGCCTTGTTCTATGGTGTTTGTGCTATTGAATTTTGTGTTTCACCTTGTGCCTTAAAGCTCATGGACTAGTCTATATCTTGGGATTATACTGTTTTAAGCATTTTTACTGCTTTGCCTACATATATTCTTCAATAAACTCCTTGTTGATTTTACCAAGCTGGTGTGGTGTTTAAGGTCAGAGGTGTTCCTGCTATGGAGAACAACACCTCCTAAGTTTTGAAATCAAAATGGATAGTAGATTTTAAATTTTATGACAGAAATAGCTGGCTGGCCAAAGAACAGGGTGGAGAGGCAGGGAAAGTGTCGGAATTTATAACAAAATGGTTTCAAAAATATCTACACTTACATAATTGATATTAATCACAGAATCATGAGCATTTATGTTCAATCTCACAAAGAATTTGGCTACATTTCAATTTCAACTCATCCCTGCAAAACAGGCAACGTCAAACTACCTTGCCTTTGTGGTTTCTTGCAACCGAAAACACTGAATCAATTCGTCCCTAAAAGTCTGGAACCAAAGAGCCTGCAAACAGAGATAGGACCGAAAAGCAATTTCACTGAATTGGCAATGTGAGCGCTCTGAAAGAAAAGTCAGACACCCCACTATCTAATCCATCTTCTCCTTCCCGACAGAGAATGGTTCCCTATAGCAGGAGTACATTTTCTACCCCTTTTGTGTATCACCAACTCAGAGTAAAGTTTATAAAAGCAGACACTCCTTCCAAAAGCAATTTACATGACCAGTTATCTGCTATATTGTTCCCTTTCGGGTTATTTCGGCTATTCGCGCGGGGCTAAGAGGCTTATTCCTTCTCTCCCAGCCCACTTTCTCCTTTATCCGGCATTGAAGTCATAATCCCGTGCTTTTGACATCCTATGCTGTTGAATTTGGAATGGCTCTGAGTTCAGAGATTCAGCAGCCGGCGATGGACCTCCCATCCAGACAGAAAGAAAAATGAAGGCACAGGAGGGGAAAAAAGGCTGGTGGGTGGGACATGCTAAATTTAGCTGTGTTAATAGTAAGAGGAGAAGGAGGAGGAAGAAACTTCCATTCTACAGCCTGTTAAGTGTTTCACAGCCCCTTGTTTTATATGACTCTATGTGAGGGAAGGAATTCAAAGTGCCTGACAGACCACCACCATACATAGAATCACAGAGTCCCAAGCACCATCTTTTCCAACCTGTCTCGAAATTTTTAAGAGGCTGGATGGCCATCTGTCAGGAGGGCTTTGATGGTGTGTTTCTGAATGTCAGAAGGGGGTTGGACTGGATGAACTCTTCTATTCTGTGATAAAACACCTGTGAGTATGACTCACCGCTTTGAGTCGCCTGAGGGCTGAGAAAAGCAGTATATAAATAAAGTAAGTAAATAAATAATAAATTAACCATATAAACCCAGTTTTGAAACTTCCAGTGAAGATGATTCCAACACTTTCTTAGCAACACAAAGTTCTTCCTAATGTTTAGACAGAATTTCCTTTTGAATCCATTGGTTCATGTAGTAAGTAACACCTGGAGCTGTAGAATACAGGCTCAAATCATCTTCTGCATGACAGATATTTAGAGATATCTATCAAATCATTTCTAAAGGTGCGCCTGCAGAATTAATGCAGCCTGACACCATGCTAAGTGCTATAACTTAGGTATATAAGTCCAGTCGTGACCAACTCTGGGGGTTGGTGCTAATTTCCATGTCTAAGCCGAAGAGCCGGCATTGTCCATAGATGTCTCCAAGGTCATGTGGCTGACATGACTGCATGGAGCACCATTACCTTCCCGCCAGAGCAGAGTTATATTAAGTCCAGTCGTGACCAACTCTGGGAGTTGGTGCTAATTTCCATGTCTAAGCCGAAGAGCCAGCAT